TTGTGAAGGATCTGAGAACAAACCTTGTACGTTGCGTTTCATTAACATAACTTGGGTGGGCTTAGTGAAATGTTGTTATCCACACCCCAGTTTGGAGGCCCATCAAGATTTGCAAAAGAATGCATTGCTATTTACCACAAACATTATCCTATTATCATTGATTTTCCATATTATTTCTGATTAATGGGTGGGCCTAACACGCGCTTTGGTAACCACACCCCCTTTCTGGCCCAAACATTGGAATGAACTAGTTTTATTTGCTATTTGCCACACACGCTTGCTAATTTCCTTGAATTTCTTTATTTTCTTCATTTCATGTGACTTAGAAAATAATTCATAAAAAATAGAAGACTAACTCAATTAATTCCAAATTTTTTTCCCTTGATTCATGATTGAATCTAGAATTTTGTAGATAAAAAATATTAATAATTCATGCATTTTTAATTTTATTTGCATTTTTTGAATATTAATTGATATTAAAATGGCCATGGTTGATACCTTGTTTTAATGAATTTTTTTTGAGCACTTGGTGATGATTCTTGCCCTGATTTTTTGTGTGTAGCTAGCATAGATATGTATGATCCCCTTAGATTTTTCTCACATTTTTGTGATGAATGTAGGTAGTAGTTTTAAGTTGAAACTTTAGACGCTCTATTTTTAGGGTTTATGTTTAGTACCTTGTGATCTATGTTTTATTTCTAGGACTTGGTGGATGATTCAACCTATGAATTTTGTATGGTAGATTCATGATTGAGTTAGAGTACCATAGTCATTTTTTTATGATTTTACAATTGGTTTTAGTATTTTAGTTAGGATTAACTTTAGTACTAAGTTTTAGGTGATCCTAACTTGCTAATTCAACTAGATTGATTTCTTTAGTTCCCTTAGATTAGGGTTTTGCTTTGCTTGCTCTTGGATGATGTTGAAGACAAGATTGGGATACTATGGAATGCTTGAAGAAGTTTGGATGTGAAGATTTCCCTTCTTTTGGTGTAGTGTTGATTAGGTGTTAAGATTAGGGTTTGTAGGCAGAGCTTCCAGATAGATTCTCTTCCTTCATAAACATGGAAGATGTTGATCACTTCCATTCTTCCCTATGATGTAAGGTCCCCTTGTAAAGGCCTCATCACTCCTTTGGTAGGATGTGTGTCTCTTTACAAGTTGGTAGAACCTTTGAGGGTTCCTTTCTCTGATGATGGGATGCTTAGTGGTGACCTTTGGTCTTCACTCTGCTGTCAATCATCCAAACCTTGCTCTTGTTAGATGAATCTTTATCCCTTGCTAGAGGATGGAATGCCTTGAAGAGGATGGAGGTTGCTTCCCCTTTGTTTGAAGACTACCCTTGGAGCTGAAGCTTGAAGATCAAGAGGAGCAAGTCCACTTGTGGGAAGAAGGTCAAGCTGAAGATTGAAGAAGATGAAGAACAAGTTGATACTTGTGAGGGGAATCCATTGGAGATTGAAGAAAGAGCTGAAGCTTGAAGTTGAAGAAGAGGGATAAGTTGATACTTATGTATGATGTGTTAATAGCTTGAAGAAGCAAGCTGATATTTGCTACTGAAGATGATAGCCTTGAAGAGCAGTTGAAGACTGAGGACTGAACTGCTGTCAGAAGATTGCTTTGTTGTGGAGCTGTGGAAGCTATTGATTTGCTTTGTTTCCTGTCTATTTGCTTTCTGTGCAACTGTATTGATGTGACTTGTTTGATTTGCTTGATGCATTAGAATAAGTTCATGTTTAGATTGATTTAAGCTAGGAGCATGATTGCACTAGAGGTTGAGTGTCTCCCTCTGCTTGTATTGTTACTGTATGGCTTTGCTTGCTGGTATTTGGTAGAGCCCTGCTCCTTTGCCTATGTGGTTTGTTATTTGCTTGATGGCATTTTACTTCTGCTGTATGATTGCAGTTATTGTGTTTGCTTGATAGCATGTTATTTCTTCTGTATGATTACAGTTCTTCATATCTGGCTTGAGGTTGAGACGAGCTTGTGGAGGCTGATGTCCCACACACATTTCCTCCCTCACTTGCATTGCATGCATTTTACAGTTGTTTACTATTTACTGTTTAAGCTGATGCTTTATCTGTTTCTGTTTATCATTGACATGATCCCCTAGGAATCTCACTTCCTCTGATAAGGAAGTGATGATAGAACTTTAGGTTGAAACCTATGCATGATAACTTCTAGGAGTTCCCTGTTTCAAACTTCAACCATAGGATGAATCCATGGCATGACAACATTAGGACTTGATAGTCTCCCCTTAGTTGAACCTGTTCGTTCTCTCTTCTCATCTCAAAACAAATCAAAATACAGTAATAAAGGTTAGCTGATGTCGTACGTTACGAGCCTTAAGCTATCTGAGAAAGGATTGTTGGAGAGTTTCTTTTCAATAGTCTGGATGTTTAGTATGGCACCCTTTGGGTGACATGCGACGCATTCACTCTCAGGTCATAGTCTCTAGTGCGGTATAGGTTGCAAACATCCATAAAAAACAGTTCTTCTGTAAAAGACAGAAAACAAACTTCAAACCTTTTTGCCCCGTGGGCCCATAATTCAAAGGAAGCTTTTCTGAAGAAAAGAGTGTCGTTAACTCTCAGTTCTACCGCAAACGGTAACGATTAAGTCTCCAAGGGTCGAGCTGCGTACGCCAAACTGCTGGAACCGTTTGTTAACCCTACTCGATAAAACAGATGAATCTGAATTCCCCGTAACCCGTAGTCCCGAACTACGTAAGCTCTGATCTCTCATATCTGTTGAGAGTACGTAGGCACAATACTGATGTATTGGTGAGCCACCTTCCCCGTAACCCTAGTCAGCCGAACTACGTTGACTCTGATTTCTCATTCTCTGATGAGAATATGTAGGCATAAAGCGCGACGCTTTGCCGAGTCATTTTCTTTTCTTTTCAGACCAGCCTTGATAGGTAGATAGATAAAACCAACCCGTCAGATAAACACAACAAGCGTGGATCCCATCGAGTACGATGGACGTGAGGGGTGCTAATACCTTCCCCTTGCGTAACCGGCTCCCGAACCCAGACAATGGTTGCGATGACCTTGTCTTATACCTTTTCGTCAGGTTTTTCCGATCGTTTCCTTTCCCGTTCTGAGGGATAAATAACGAAAGGTGGCGACTCTTCTGTTTTGCCGGCACCTTATTTTCGCGGTAGCGACAGAGCCCATGAACTTCTCGGGGAACTCATGAAGTTTCCGACGGAACTATGAAGTTTTCGTTGAAGATGCCGGGAAGTTCATGAGGATTCTGGGAAACTGCATGAAGTTTCCCATGAAGGCCTGCATTTGGATAAAGATTATAAGCAAAAACAACAAAAAAATGTTTTAAAATAACTGTTGTAATTGGAAATACATAAAAGAAATGGTGCACAAATTCATACATATTTCTCTCAAATTCGATTCTCTTTGCGACACAGGTACTTTGAGTTGTATAAGAATTTATGATAAGAATTGCGATCCCTATTTTTATACAAAGAGTCTGTTTATAAAATTTTACATTGATGACTATCGACAACAATGACTTCTTCAGCACTTGACACATACATTAATAAGTGTGTTTCCATGCTCTAGCACACTTCTAGGTGTTTTGGTCTTCAAAGATAAAACTACAGAAAACCAACTACCATGTTATTATCTATGTTGGTAACTACTTTTAACCTCTTAACCACCTCTATCGAGTGTCATTGGTTGACAGTGTTATTGAGACATCTCTATATTACAAAGTCTTTAAACTTGAGAATATCCTAAGTCCATAACACCTTGTGAACATGTTGAGACATCTCTATATCGCGTTGTAAGTGATATAAAATTTAATATGAATAAAATATTAATATATAAAGTAAAGTTGTGGAACCCAATATGAGTTCTTCAGAGTTGTACAATTGAAATGAAAAATTAGTTAAGTTACTTCAAGCTGACATGACTTAATAGATTCCACAAAGAATCCAAAAATAAGTTCACGGTTGGAAATGATCTAAAGCACGTAAAGTTGATGGATTAAAAAGTTGAAGGGTTTGATGTTAATTTGCAAAATCAAGTGCATTCCAAAAGGAATCACAAAAATTAAAATAGTTAAAATCCATTGTACAGCGAACCAATGTACTGATGCTTTGACAAAATTCAGTTTAAGCCTTCATAGGAGACTCTTAGAATTTAATGAATCTCCTAATTTTCTGTATAATTTTCTCTTAGAAGATAGTAGTGGCATTGATTGATTTGATGTTTTGTTTGTTTTGGACTTAATGCCTTTCCAAATCAAAAAAATAAAAACTGATTTTTAAAATAGAAAAATTAAAAGCTAAAAAAAATGCATTTAAACAAATAATATTTAACCTTTGAATTGTATCATAAATGATATACTAATTTTTCAATAATTTTTTACTTATAACAGAGACTAGAGGGAATAATTTTACAATGTTAGGGAAGCATAATTATTTGATCATTAATATATTTTACTTTTGTCCTCATTAAATATTTGAGATTAAATTTAATTAATATGAGTATAAAATTAATTTTATACTGTCAATCAATTATCTTATATATTTTGTTATATTATATTATAAAATTTAAATTATTACATAATAAGATAAATTAATAAATTTTTTATTGAATACAGTATAAAATTATTTTAAAGTATATATGAATTAAACTCATTGAAATTACAATTAAGCTCAAACCAAAATTATTTTGCCTATTGGTTAATGACTTAATGTGCTTTTGTGGAGGCGGGAAACTATTTTTTTTAGTTTGTGTGAATGCACGGAGAGGAACGCGCTTCCCTTCGATCTCATTTCCGTGCTGTGTGATGATACCACCGCACACCGCCGTAACAGAAACCTCCGTTTGCCGTTGGTTTGTTTAATCGTCTTGTCATTCCTTTTGTTTTCTCTGTGATATTTAAACTTTCAATAGAGAGAGAAATCGAACGAGTTTTTTCTTCTTCTTCTTCTTATTCACTCTTAGCGACACTGTTGACTCTGCGATTCTCCCATGGATGCATACCGAAGAGACTCAACTACTCCATCAAATGCATCATTCTCCGGTAACGATTTTTCTCAATTTACAGATAAATACACTGTTTTATCAGAATTTTATTTCTACTTTATGATCTGTTTGGATTCTGTTTCTTAAAACTATAACTAACTGTTGATGCAAAGTTGATCTATGATTGAAGAAGAGATTCGTGAGAATGTATCTCAATTTTTCCTAACTTTGGATTTCCGTTCTTTAGTTAGTAGTATTCTGCGGAATGTGTGTTATTAACAAACCTATTCTCATCAGATTGATCTATAATTTATCGTGAAAATTTTGAAAAAATGCTTATACTCTTCTCTTAATGCTTTAGTTTCTTAGGTATTTTGTTTTAATTTTAATTTTCTACTCTATTGTAATGAATAATGGCAGCATTTTGTTTAGCCTGTTTTGTCTGTGTAAATGTTTGATAACGCAAAACGCATTCTCATCTTAACTTGTTTAGAATGAGGCCATTCCATCATTATGAATTATTGTAGGTGGAAATGGAGTCTGTTTGATGAGAAATTCATGGAAAGAGGATCAACATTCATCCTTCATTGATTTTATCTTCACTTTCCTCTCTGCAAATTCCTTTCGCCTTAATTTTGTGCCAATTGCTCCGGTAATTGCATGTTCTCTTTCCTATTCTATTTTGTTCCTTTCAAATGAAATTATGACGGAAATTTGAGGATTTTCTTTGTAGGATTTTATTTTTAATTGTGGGAGTTTATCTGTGGCCTTCATTTTTGTGACAAACTGGGACTGTAACAATGTGGCTCCAATCTTCAACAGGTTACTATTGCTTTGGGTAATGTTTAAGTAGAATTTATACTTTGCAAAGAGTTTATGCTTTATTTGAATTTTCTGGTGCAGAGTTCAGCAACTGAAGGCTCAGTTTTCGCGTTTTTATGTTGTTATCACACTCCCAGGAAATGAGGAAATGGATTCATTTATTGAGTCATATTTCAAGTAAGGTCTGTTAATTATGTTTCGATTGATTAATGTTAGCTATGTATGATTTTAATGATGAAAGAACATGGATCATGGTTATGAATATGTGAAGATTTGGGATGGTGATTGGCAAGCCTACATTTATACCAGTTAAAGACTTGGAGATGGGGTTCGAAAAGATGGTAAAAATTGCCCATTCTTCTGGAGGTATAATCTTAAACTTTTATCTAGCTTTAATGTGTTTTTTCAATTTATAGTTATTATTCTCCAACTAATTGCAGTATACAAGCAGGAGGGAATTGAAGAAAAATTTAAAGCTGAGGTCAGCTTATTGATTTTACATTAAAATTTCATATTATGTAGCTGCTAGGGTTCACATAATGAAAGAAGCATATTGATGTATGAACTTTGTTATGATTTTGAAGAGGAAGAAGTGGGTGCAAGGAATGAACTTTTATCTTAAAGTTGTTACATCAATCCCAGGCATTGACAATCACGATGCAAATGCGGTACATCTCTCTCTAGTACAAGGAAACTCTTCAATTTATTTATATTTTTACAAGCCTCCATCCATCATTGTTAAAACTCTGTTTCTTGAATATGTGTAAAATTGGTGAGAGTATAATCTTCCTTTTGTCTATTTACTGATATTAATTTAATTAATTGCGTTGGTGTCAAAGTTTTGATGCTATGTTAGTATTATCAATATCATGCTACTCTTCCTACTGATTTGGGATAGTATACTACATAACAATAATTTTGTCACATGCAAAACCGGAATAGCCATGCATGTAGGTTGAGTTATTTTGTTATTCTGATGGTTCAATTCAGCTGAGTCAAGCTATTGGTTCTGTCCAAGCAATTGCAAAGGCATCAAAAGAGCAAATTCTGGAGAACACAGATCTTTCCACTGACAAGGCAGAGACGCTTTCAAGGTTTCTCAGGGATCCAAAGTTTTACTTAAGTCCCAAGATCAACTAATCACACAATAACAAAGGAATCCAGATTGTAGCTTTATTTGTTTGTTTACCTAGATACGAAAAGCAGAACTATGAACTGTTTTAATATGGGGTTTATGCTAATTCCTTTCTTTTGTGAACTTCTGTATACTCTAGTATTCATTGTTTCAATCAAATTATTAAAGAGTTAAAGATGGTTCGAACTATTAGCACCTGAAAGCAAAAACATACGGCTGAAAAACGGATAAGCAACCAAACTTAAAAATAGAACGCACAGGAAATGTTGGCAACATGAGAAAATAATAGTTAAGATTTAAGTATAACAATACACTTCTTTGCAACTTGGGCGTTCTTAATTATTTCTTGCATCCTAGGGAGGCGGTCGAGATGGCGGCCGATGCAGTACATGTGGTTGTGGTGGGACATGAATAGGAACAGGCGGCTTCTCACGTGGCTTCTGGTTACTGATCTGTCCATTGGGGTGCGCGTGTATTTGAAGTTTTGGGTTTCTTGCAAAACTGATTATAGCAAGCAATAAAACTAGTAGGGTTAAATAAGACCTCTTTCTTTCCATCCTTATTTTATTTCTGATGATCAACGTTTTGACATGAATAGTTATTGTATACTAGCTCTTGGGTTGAGATTTTAGTTGTTGATTATATATATAAATATAAACTTTGAATGAGTTTTATATTTGTTGTATTATTTTGAATAATTGATTTTACGCTTATCGGAATATAAAGTCTATGTTTGTTTGGTACAAGTCCATTATTTTGAATAAGTGACTTTTATGATGGCTTTTTGGCAAGATTTCGTGACACGTCGACTTAGGACAGGTTAACGGAATGCAGGTTCATCAAGTTAAAGAATAAAAAACACCAAAAAGAATAAAAATAATTAAATTTTGCACGTTTCTCTTAAAAAATAGTGTGATCTTTGTGATTTTTTTAATAAAAAAAAAATATTAATAAAAAAGTGAAAACCACTAAAATATAAAAGGCTTAATTGTAACTTTGGTCCCTCTATTTTGTATTTTTTGGAGTTTTGATCCCCCAATTTTAAAAATCACGATTTTGGTCCCTTTTTTAAGTTTTAAGATTAATATTAGTCCCCTTCTCATTTTAAGTCATGTTTTTAATGAGGTGACGCTTTGACTGTTGATGTGGCATTTCCATGTCAATTAAAATGTTTTTTTTTTAAAATTTAATTTAATTTCCATGTCATTAACTTAAATATTATTTCATTTTCACAAATTTAATAAAATAAAATTTAATTGTAAACATTATTTCAAACCCAGTAAACATTATTTCATTTTCACATTAACCTAAACAGTTCATCTTCAAACAACGAACAAGGTGAAGCTCGCTTCAAATCCAAACCTTCATTTTCAAACCGCTTCAGAATCCAGTTCATCTTCAAACCGCAGTTCTATATCATTGTAACCTTCATTTTCATTTTCTTCCCATTGTAACCCAAACCTTCATCTTCTTCCCATTGTAACCTAAACCCAGTTCTATATCAAACCGCAGCTCGCTTCAAATCAAACTGCAGCTCGCTTCCCGTCGTCTCTGAAATGGCAAACCGAAGGTATGTTTCGTAACTCACCTCTGAATACAAAAACCCTAAACATGCAAATGGCGTTTGTGTTATATCATATCATATGAATTGTTAATACCAACTCTCGGTTTTATATATGGTTTAATTCAGCTGCTGTTTTTTTTTTTGTTTTGTAGGCCCTCTAATACAGAAGCTGTCAGATTTAGAGTACACCATAGGGGACATTTAATTCAGAATCCAGTTCTGTTGTATGTTGATGGGCTTATAAGTGAAATGAATTGGGATTGGGATGTGGACTTGATGTCCTACATGCAAATTGAAGATTTGATCAAGAGTGAGGGGTATCGTAATATAAAGTGTTTATGGTATTGGAATCCTAATTTTTTATTTTCTCGTGGACTTCGGCCTCTTAACAATGACAATGATGTCTTAAGGTTAATGGAGGATGTTAGAGGATTTAAGGTAGTTGATCTTTATGTTGAACACAAAGTTGAAGAAATAAGTATTGAGGATGCTATTTTTGAGGAGGATAATGGTGAAAAAGGCAACGGTGAAGGAGCAAATGATGAAGAGGTTAATGTTGAGGAGGATAATGGTGAAAAAGGCAATGGTGAAGGAGCAAATGATGATGAGGTTAATGTTGAGGAGGATAATGGTGAAAAAGGCAATGGTGAAGGAGCAAATGATGAAAAGGTTAATGTTGAGGAGGATAATGGTGTTAGCGTTGATGAAGAGGTTAGCGTTGATGACGTAGATGACGAGAGTGAAATAGATCCAGATTATAGCATGGGCAGTGAGGATGACGAGGAAGAGAATGAAGATTTGGAAGATGAAATTGATGTGATGAATTTAGGTGTTGATGCTAGTATAAATTGGAAGACCGTTTTACCTAATGCAGAAAAACCTTCAAAGTTGGATGATAATTCCGATAATGGTAGTGATTCAAATGTGCTTCAAACTCCACCCAGTAGTGATGTTGAAGGTGATACGACAAAGTTTCCAATCTTTAGGGAACCCACACAACTTTAAGTAGGGATGATGTTCAAGGATAAACAACAAATCAAAGATGCCATAAAGGAGTATGCTATGGAGAACAAGAAGAATCTTGTATTTAAGAAAAATGACAAGAAGAGAATGGTTGTCAAGTGTGTATATGGTTGTCCATTTCATAATAGGTGTAGCATGAGGACTACCAATCAATATTGGCAACTTGTTAGCTTGACTGATCATCATGGCTGTCATAGGACAGCCAAAAATAGACAAGCAAAAACGAGTTGGTTGGGTCTCCAATTTGTGTACACCATAAGACACACTCCTGAAATAAAAACCAAAGGGCTGATTGCAGAAGCTATTAAGAAGTAGGGGGTGAAGTTGTCAAAGGATCAAGCTTACAGAGCCAAGAAAAAGGCAATGGAATTAATTCAAGGTGCTGGTCATGAACAATTCACACACCTTAGAAGCTATGGTGAGGAGTTGTTAAAGTCAAATCCAAACTTCACTGTTAAAATTAAGTGTGCTAATTCAGATGGCGGTCCTGTCTTTGAAAGAATATATGTATACTTAGAAGCTTGTAAGGCAGCGTTTGCAACGACGTGTAGGCCTCTAATAGGACTGAATGCTTGTTTTCTTAAAGGGGACTTTGGAGGTCAGTTAATAGGTGTTGTTGGTAAGGATGGAAATAACAAGATTTATCCAATCGCTTATGCCGTAGTGGAAGCTGAAACGAAAGACTCATGGAAATGGTTCCTTAATTTGTTATTAGAAGACTTACAATCTATACAAAACACCAAAATTAGTACTGAAAAATGAGTACTGAATGCTGATACAATTCTGCTATGTTAATGTTAATGTTACAATGCTGATACAAAATGAGTACTAAATGCTGATATATGACACCAAAATGAGTAAGGTGAACTTCAATTTTGCAAACATTAAAAAAATACTTTCAACTATTAATATTTAAACAAAATCATCTTAAATTAGTGTGTAAGGTGAACTTCAATATATGACACCATTAGAATACAAGAACTTTTAAATATGACACGTTTCATCACTAAATAATAATTATATATTTTTAGGTAAGCACTATTAAATGTGTTTATTTTATATATTGAGTATTGAATATTCATACTATAAACAAATCAATAATATTTAGACAAATCAATGCTGATATAATAATTCTGCTATGGTACTTATAATTTGATATATGTTGGTGTGGTACTTATATGCTGCTGCTGTTAATTTGATATATGTTGCTGCTGTTATAACTTGATATATGCTGCTGTTATAACTTGATATAATTTGATATATGTTAACAATGCTGCTGCTGTTATAATTTGATATATGTTAACAATGCTGCTGCTGTTATAACAATGTTGGTGTGGTACTTATAATTTGATATATGCTGCTGTTGTTATAACTGTTATATACTGATATATGTTGTTATTTCAGGGATTGGTACCGACTATTCTTGAGACAAGCCAACATGTTGAACATAGACTATGTGTTAAACACTTGTATGGCAATTGGAAAGAAATATCCGGGGATATTTATGAAGGAGGCTTTATGGCGGGCAGCGAGAGCCACAACAATTCCTGCATGGGAAAGAGCAATGAATCATATGAAAGAGCTCAATGTCAATGCTTGGAAAGACATGATGGATGTCCCAGCTGCATGTTGGACTCGGTCTCATTTCAAAACAGACACACAATGTGATTTGCAAGTCAACAATATGTGTGAGGCTTTTAATCGTGCAATCATGGAGTATAGAGATAAGTCGACCATTTCACTACTTGAAGGAATCAAACATTACATAACAGTGAAAATATCTGCTCAAAAGGAGAAATTAAGTAGGTACACAGGTGTTACAAGTCCTAGCATTCAAAAAGTCTTGGAAAAAACAAAGAGGGCAGTAGAAGGATGGATTGCAACATGGCATGCAGATGATGACTTTGCAATATTCAGAGTTTCAAACGGTGTTGAGACATATGCTGTGAACTTGCTTCAACAGAAATGTGGTTGTAGGAAGTGGGATTTAAGTGGAATACCATGTTGTCATGCTATTGCATGCATATGGTATAACAAGAAGGAGCCCGAAGATTACGTTTCATCATTCTATAGGTATCACCTACTCGTATATTATGTTCATTTATATTCATCTTTTTTGTATGTTAACTAAAATCATTGTGTCATATTGTCTAGGAAATCTACTGTTCTGACTACTCATAGCCATATCATCATACCAACCAATGGCCCACAACTATGGCCTGTTAATGTTGCTAACCCAATCAGCCCTCCAGTCATGCGAAGATCTATCGATCGTCCTAAGAAGAATCGTAACAAGGCAAATGATGAACCGTGGATAAGAAATACACTGCCTAGAACTCTTCAAACTGTCAAGTGCAAGAAATGTGGGAGTTTTGGCCATAACAAACGAACGTGTAAAGGGAAGCGAGCTGCGGAGAG